AAAAAACTCTAGCCAGGCTCGGTGGCTCAGCCTGTAATCCCGCGCCTTTGGGAGGCTGAGGTGAGTGGATTGCCTGAGCCCGCGGGTTTGAGACCCACCTGGGCAGCGAGACTTCATCTCTACAATAAATCAAAAAATCAGCGCCCATGCCTGTAATTCCAGCTACTCGGAAGCCTGAGGCGGAAGGATCGCCGGAGCCCAGCAGGTCGAGGCTGCAGTGTCCAGGAGCGGCCACTGCACTCCAGTCTGGGCGACAGAGTGAGACTCCAACTCAAAAAAAAAAAGAGTGTATACCAGGGCAAACCCTAGGGTCCCCTCCCATCGTGGGAGCTTGTCTGTCCTCTCAATAATTCCTGCTTTCTCAAAAACAAAACAAAACAAAACAAAAAAACTCAGTCCCCATAGTTAAACATTTAGCTCCTCCTCCTATTTTGCATTATTATAAATAAAGTATCAACAAATACTTTTGCCCATAGGGTCTTTTTTCAAAGTTAAGATTATTTCCTTGAGAAAGATGAAGAACTGGACTTGGGGTTCAGGTCACAGAGGGCTGGGACAGCAGTAGTGTGTGCGTGAATGTATGTGCTTGTGATGTGTCAGGACTGCATTTCTCACTGGCCCTTCATGAGAGGGAAACTGAGGCAGGCCTCTTCCCCAGACCTATAAGAGAGCCAAGTGATCCATTCTTTCAGCCTATGGATCTTGAGGGGATGGAGGTAGAGAAAAGGCTTCTCAGCGACTCAGTTACTTGGCCTGAAATCCCTCTGAACTTTCAGGCTGACCAGGCCGAAGCCCTTCAGCCCTCGTGACCAAATACTCCGCTGTGTCAGGGCCGCCTCCAGGATTGTGGAGATGAACACTCCTGCTGAGGTGTTTTATGTCCTGCGTGACTGACTCGCCCAGCGAGCACAGCCCTCTGCTCAGATGTGCTTTCCGACCTGTGTGTCTTTCCAGTTGGGCTAAGCTTGGTTCCAAGGCAGGCTGGCTGGTTTTCCCCTCCGAAAGACTAGTCAGTGGGGTCAGCCAGCGGATAAGCTAAAGTTAACTTAGCTATTATTGCTTTTTTGTTAATGAGGGGAGGACCAACTGTGAAGATGCCAAACTGTTCACAAATGCTGTGCAGTCCTTGGGATTTAATATGCCAGAACAAATTCTGTGTTCAGGCAAAAGAAAGCAGTTGACAGTGATTTAAATCCTGACTGGACTCCCAAGGGTCCCTTGTGCTTCCCTGAGCTTTCATTTTGATTATTTTTTTGAAAAATATTTTTCTTATGAAGCTATGGATCTTGGAAGCTGTGAGAAGCGTGGACGACCTCATTGGACTCATCAGTGACAGGAGCTCTCTTTTGTGGAGAGCAGAAAGGGCTATAATTAAGCTGTGGTGGGAGAAGGGATGTAGGGGGCGTGGTGGAAGGTGAGACTTTAGGGAGCTTGTGTCACCAAAACCCTAGAGTTGGCTAGGGAGTGATGGCTGAATACCTATCCTACGGGACTGCGAGGGTTGAGGGAAAAGGAGCAGGGATTGGCTTCTCTTAGACTGTAATTAATAGGAACCGAACAACTCATTCTCAGAGATGAGTTTCAGAAGAATATCCTGGGTGTTCCTGAGCCCAAGATCACTTGACTTACGTCTTAAAATTCCATAGCCCACAAGCATGTTCACAGATGCTGTTCCAAGTGACCTCCATCGACAACGAAGCAATGTGCCTGTAGAGTTGAAACCACTAAAAAAAAAACCTGTGTTATAATCGATGTACAAAAATGTTTAAAATGCTTTGAAACAATCAGATCTGAGATGTTCCTGCTATAAAGTAGTCTGTGAACAAGTCAAATTGAAAGCATGGAAGTGAGCTGTGCCTGTAAACTGAGAGATCTAAGAGAAAGGATCTTTTTAGTGTGACCCATATTTGCAGTCTACCTACTGTGCACCAGTGCAGTATGTGGCCCTGGGGGACAGAGGTGTGTAGGTCTTGATTTCTTGCCTCCAGGCACCTAGCTGAGGAAAGACCTACTGTGGCCAATCATAGTGCCAAGAGCAGTTAGGAGGAAGGAATAGGTTCTGCCTAGGGGGTGCTTGTAAGGCCCAAAGGAGGCCACACTTGAGCTGGGCTTGAAGAGTCAGCCCATTATTGTTGCTTAGAGATGCGGGAGAAGGGTCCAGAAGGCCAGGACACTGTCTGAATGAAGGCAGAGGGACGGGTATAAGTGGTGTCCTTGGAAGTGTGACTGTCGGCGAGGGAAAAGATGAGTAGGAAGTAGCGGCTGCTCCCAAAATGTGGAGGGCTTTGATATTCATCTGAGGGAGTTTGGACTTGATTCTGTGGCTGGTAGGGACCCATGGAAGGTTTCAGAGAGGGAAGTAACTTGAAAATTGCAATGAATTTTTTTTAATGAAAAGCAAATACATAAATACATGCACTTGGAAATATATTTTAGCTATACTGAAGTCTACAAAGCAAAAAGTGAAAATGCTCCCCTTCCCAGATATAGCCACTGTTTTCCTTCATGTCATTTCTTCCACCTGTATCAATACATATAGCCAACAGAAGTCAACCTTAGAAGGGGGGAGGAAGATGGCTCTACAGACTCTCTCTATCACACACACATGCGCCCCTACCTTTTACTATTTAAAATTATATAAAATAGGCCAGGTGCGGTGGCCTAAGCCTGTAATCCCAGTACTTTGGAAGGCCGAAGTGAAAGGATTGCCTGAGCCCACAAGTTCGAGACCGAGCCTGGGCAACTTGGTAAGACCTCTTCTCTACAATAAATTAAAAAACTAGCCGAGTGTGGTAGCACGGGCCTGTAGTTCTGGCTACTTGGAAGGCTGAGGCGGAAGGATCGCCGGAGCCCAGCAGGTCGAGGCTGCGGTGGCCAGGAGTGGCCACTGCACTACAGTCTGGGCAACAGAGTGAGACTCCAGCTCAAAAAAAATTATATAAAATAATACTATAACTATGGAAGTCTATGTAGTATCTTATCATTTGACTCACTGTACTCCCCTCTGTATTATTTCAGAACACGGTTTTATTGGATACTCACCAGAACTGCTACAGAACAACACTCTGCCAGATTATAGCCCCGGCGAGTCCTTTTTCACTGTCTTTGGAGTTTTCTTCCCAGCGGCTACAGGTATTGTAATTAGGTACTTTTTTCACTCCCATATTGGAGGTATAAATGCTTCGTTTCCTAAGTTTAGTGTCATAATTGACTTACACATGCCCTTAGTATGTATACCCGACTCTAGAGATGGGCTAAACTTTGGCTAAGACTATTATTATTTTATTATTTATTTTTTTTGAGTTGGAGTCACACTCCATCGCCCAGGCTGGAATGCAATGGCATGCTCATGGCCACCACAGCCTTCGACCTGCTGGGCTCAGGTGATCCTGCTGCCTCAGACTTCCAAGTAGCTGAAACTACAGGCATTCGCCACCACACCTGGCTAATTTTTTGTTTTGTTGTAGAGATGAGATCTTGCCAAGTTGCCCAGGCTGGTTTGAGCCCGTGGGCTCAGGCAATCCTCTCACCTCGGCCTCCCAAAGTAGTGGAATTATAGGCATGAGTCACCACGCCTGGCAAGACCATTATTATTATTATTATTATTTTTGAGTTGGAGTCTCACTCTGTCGCCCAGACTGGAGT